TCCTAAGAACAATTGAGTGAAAGAAGAGGCGCATCTAGGAGAAAAGTAGCGGTCTGACGACTTTCTCCCCAGAACGAGTTTCTCAACTTGTAAACAAAATCACAACTACCAAAGAGCGAATATCAAAATTATGTAAAACATATCTTGCGTCTTTTTCATCTATGGCAACTGCGTAGATATAAATTGGCGATGCGAAATTGGATAACCGAGAAGCTCTCTACTTGAGGCAAAGGAGCCTAAAGACATGGTAGCTCTTGCTAGCAAGCACCCGCTCATTCGCAATGCAGACGGTGAGGCCAACCTCATTGCTCTCGTATACTATTTTATTGCTAGTGCTACGGGATACCCCTATGCATTGTCAATGAGCCAGAGGAGGCCATCGGGCTCTGGTCTCCCATACGGGTTTCTAGGCAGGAGAAAACTGTCAGACCGGACTTCGCTCGTTTTGCGTTAATTGAGAATGAATCCAATGAATAACCGATATTTCTTTCAGTTATTTGCTATCCCAATGGATACTTATACGATGAAGGATCTCCTGAGAATTTTTGAAAAGGCCGGGCCCCCCCCTTGCCTCCCCTGACGAGCCACCATTGGCTTTTACCCTTTTTTCAACCACCTCCCAAGCTATACGGCAGGAGTCGGTAACCTACGGCTCACGGGTCGGATCCGGCCCGCGAAGAGATTTCATCCGGCCAACCAAGCACGCCAAGAAAAGTGGAGATTTACTTATATTTCATATATTATTTTCAAATCCTCATATTCTCTCCTCCGGGCATATCAACATCACAAGCAATTACACATTCCGGCCCGCCATTGGGTCGAGCCATATCAATCCGGTCCGCAGTTAGTCAAAAGTTGCAGACCCCTATTATACGGGACTCATTAACGTTAGACCTAGGCCTACCTTTTCTGGTTCATAAGAATCCCAACCCTCGACTTCCGGGGCCAATTAGGCCTACACGGGTCAATCCCAGGGTCTTCGAAGCACGTCGGCGCGGACTTGTAAAGTTAGGCCTAGCTGGAGTTTCTCGAACCACCTCGACGAGGTCTGCGGAGATAACTGCGGATTGAATCGCATGGCGCAATCACGTTAATTCAGGGATGTCTGTGCACGATATCTCCAAATCCCAAAACATCGATCGACATCTGCTGACCACAGTTTCAACATCAGCTTATCTCATGAACTTTGCGCAGAGTTGTCTCACATTGAAAAACGAAAGATCCAGACCCCGAAACGAAGGCCGAAACAGTCATGAATCTGACATTACTCCGGCACGATATCTGGCAACACTGGGGGACTGGACTGGAGCCAAAACGCCAAGTCTAAATGAACGATTCCAATTTAATTTTTTTAATGACGAAATAGTACATCGCAAGCAAGAAAAAGAGCACTTTACGTGATCAATATATTTCTTTTTGTCGGAATGCTTTTTCCGAAAACACCTTAGTAAGGGGGGGGGGGGAGAGAGGGAAAAAAATACTGGAATGAAATTCACATCTTGGAAAAGTGGGAATCAGTGTTTTCCGCAACCCAGGGGAATTGAAGCTTTAAATTTGCTGGAGCGATTCCGGGAAGAGAGTGGCAGAAACATGCCCAATTTCATTCCTCTAGACACTCTCGGAGCATCTTGAGGAATGAAATTACGAGTAGATTGAATTTTGTGACGGGAAGTGGTTGAAGAAAGGGAACGGGCGCCACCGAAGCCTATTGCTTCCAGATAAATCAGTTGTCACTATTTTGGTCAGACGCTAACAGGGACGAACTTTTGGCGAACAGGACGACTTTACTTTATGTTACCAACGCTTACTTTCGAGTCATATCTCACTTCGCGAGATATGACTTGAATGCACTTTGTCTTCATAACCGAAATGCAGCCTTTTCATTTGAAGCTGAGGGTCAGTTATTTTTTTTAAATTAGATTTTTCCTGTTCGCCTTGAGAGAGACGAATAGGAAATTGAAAATTAAAAATTTTTAATTAAAAAACCAAGAAGTAAAAATTAAATGAAAAAATTAAGAAGTAAAAATTAAAATCAAAGCTACTCCCTTGCTGGCTTCCATTTACTTTTCGGGCGATCCATGATTCAATATTAACACCCCTAGAAAGCCTTGACGAATGTCTCTCACCGAACCAGGTAAAATCCATTCTCTCACGTGTGAAATCCAAAAAGAAAGTCGTGATGCTTAAGTGCAGCGCGATGCCAGTCAGCGAATCCGCGATTCATCCGTCGCCGAATCAAGAGCCCAACAAAAATCTTCTCGTCCAACTGGACTTCCTCAAGGAGATAGTAAGGAATCGGCTACGAAAGTCCTAATTCTCCATATGTCGGAAGAGTCGTGCCATTAACCAAGCAACATGTCATGAAATTGGACTATCGGCCGTCTCGAATCGAACATTTTGAACAAATACTACCTTTCAAGTACTACCTCAGAAAATTTCCAATGACTTTCAGGAAGTTTTGGACGATAAGTCGAAGAAAACGGGAGAAAAAGGCTGCGAGGAAAAGAAGCTAAATCTCCCCAGTACGGCAAATGCAAGTACTCGTTCCACCGCTCGTCCAGTTCCTCCATCGTGGGTGAATAATACAAATAATCTCTTTATTCCGTATAATCCAGGCGGATGTCGTACATGCCAATTAACAGATGCAATAGAAATTCTTTTTGCTGGCGGACTCGCCTCTCGTCTCTCCTCCGGCATCCACCTGAATCTGGAAAATATTACCCACAAATATATTTCATGGATATTTTTTTTGTATAACCTCATACCACATATTATTTCGATAGGTGTATCCAAGCCAATCGTGGAAATTAGAAAAAAAATCAAATGCGACTGTGAAATCCAAATGGATCGCTGTGGAATTATTCAATCATTACATTAAATAATTGTTTAAATATTTAGTTATTTAATTATTTAATTTAAGAAAAGCATGCTAAACATAAATGTGAAATGCGACAGTCTTTTCTCACGCCCGTGCGACTGCCGAAGAGTTTCATTTCCAATATGCACGGCTACGAATGCTAATGCATTTATTCTTTTGCACGGATTCATTTTGACATCCAAATGCATTTGTGACGTTGTGACGTCACCATGTTAGTTGATCTTATCGATCGTGAGGAATGAAAGATGTTGCGATGGGTTTTTCCAAGTCCGATAACGAAGCATGAGAGCGAGACACGGGAATCCAAACTCGATACTTTCCAGCGAGGAAGCCAAAAAAAAAATAACAGAGGAAAAATGGAAGGAGGCAGGCCTGCCGAATCCCAGACTTTCAGCGGACATCCGACATCCGGAAGTTGAGACGAAGAGAAGGCGGCTTGGCCGTTAATGCAATTCCAGACACATAGGCATGATTGCATGAACCGTTGGTTCCATTTTTCAGTAGTCAAGTAGGTCGATGCCCCAACTATGGATGGATGGAGAGGTCCCGTGAAGCTCCATCCTTCAACTCGGTCGATCCGCTCTTGAAGCTCCATGCAAATCGCTTGTATGAAAAAGCTGGCTCGTTCATCCTTTCTTTCCCCTTGAGGCGATCCGACGTCCCGATGTTTCATTTCAAATTCCATCCCGCATTTCACTTTCTCATGTCCTCATTTGACCTAGAAAACCTGCGCTTTTCAACGGATTCTCTGATGCCCTCCTTTTTTTTAATTTTTTTTTTTTTTGGAATCCGAGGAGCAACCGAGATCGCCAATCTGCAATCGCATCGTCGCGTACGAATGCACATTGGAGATGCAACTTGGTTGTAGTCGCCTGGCACGAGCGTAATTTACGACTGTCGCATTTCACTTTCTGACATGCTTTACTTTTAAAGTCCAGCATCCGGCTCGGCAACATATTTGATTTTCTTATTTCCATATTCGACTTGGAAAACCCGTAACACAGTCTCCAAACATCAATATAAAATAAATATCAAGCATACCAACATCATAAATAATTCAAATCAAGAGTCCCTGCCACGTCCAGCCTCTCCGACCCGGCACCACGGCACCACGGCACCACGACCGGCCACAAAACCGGCACCTCCTTCCACATGCTGTTTTGAAGGCATCCCGGCACGCCGGCACAGAGTCACAGAGAGATCCGATTTCCGGCACACATGGAGAATATCAGTCTCAGCTGCAGAAAAACGCTCTTTACGCTCTACCGTTGTGCTTTCGACGCTGTCTGCTTCATTTTTCAGCGGACTAATCTTTTTACAACTGACAGATCATTTTTTTTCCCCTTTCGAGTTTTCCTAACTTTTTTTCATCGATTAAAATTTTTTTTTCTTTGGATAGCCGACTTCTTTCTCGAGCGAACGTAATTATTTTATTTCAACTTTTTTAATAATACTTATTTAAAAAGATCCTCGTCTTGGCGTTTGCAAGTTGCATACTAAAACTGCTGACTTTCCCATTAAATTTTCAATTTAAATTTCGATTATAGTTGTAATGTCGATGCGTCTCTCATCTCGTTTTATATGACATGCTCGAGGCGAGGTGCCATGAGGCGAGGTGCCATGAGGCGAGGTGCCATGAGGCGAGGTGCCGTGAGGCGAGGTGCCGTGAGGCGAGGTGCCGTGCTCGGGTATCTGAGGATGAAACACTTTTTTTTTGGTCGATCCGACGCTTCTTAAGCCGCCAAAAGTTCCACTGAATGATCTACAATTATATACTGTATATATATATATATATTTTTTTTTAACTCATTGGGGAGTATGGCGCTTGAAGCGTTTCTCTTTAAAATGGGCTTTAACACGTAGACCAGTGTGAGATGTGGCCTCCGCTATCAATCAAAAGGAAAATCTCCCATAGTTCCTGGAAAGCGCAGAATTTTTTTTTTTTTTTACCGTATTCACATTTCATACATGTATCAAGGAGGCTAAATTTAGCGAAATTAGGAAAGCTTCCGAACGACAGGCCCACGCAAATAGAAAGATGCCAAGAAAATGGCGACACTCACCGACACGTGATTAGCACCAATAACCGGGAACCAATTCGGAGAGGAAACCAATTCCTGGGTCACGGTTGACCGTATCCGTTACTCTTCTTGCGAGCACTGACGCAGAAAGTGCAGACGGGGTGCCTCGGCCCCGGATCGCACCGCGGGTGCTCCACGGCGCAGGTGCCCTCGTTCAACTGAGACATGAGATGAGCGATGTACGAGGTGGCGAGTCGAAGCGTCTCGATCTTGCTCAGTTTCCGATCCTTCGGCTCCGTGGGGATCAAGGTCCTGAGGGCGAGAAACGCGTTGTTGACGCTGTGGGTTCGGTTCCGCTCTCGGGTCGTCGCCTGGAGCCGCTCCACCCCCACCAGCCACGGGTGATCCGACTCCATGACTGAGGGACGGGACGGGACGGGACGGGACGGGGCGGGGCGGGGCGGGGGGGGGGGGGGGGGGGGGGGGGGGGGGGTGNGGGGGGGGGGGGGGGGGGGGGGGGGGGGGGGGGGGGGGGGGGGGGGGGGGGGGGGGGGGGGGGGGGGGGGAGGGAGGATCGCTTCCAGATGCGGCTGTACAAACAAGGTGAGGATCGGAAGCCGTCGACGCCGCGACACCCGATTTGTCACCGGGTCCCCTCTGAGTATTTTCCCTCGTCATCTCTAACGCTTTTTCTCTTCCTTCCGCGATTTTCATTTTCGCCTCCTGTTATTCCAATCAACGGAGTCGAGTACCGGACGAGAGAAAGAAGCCAGGGGCCAAAATAAGAACCGGCGAAAGTTCGCGCGATCCCGACGAGCGAGACCGAAACGGAAACCCCGAGTCTCTCGCCGTTCGTCTCGTCGTGTGCTCAAGGAAAAATTTTTCCAGGCACGTGTTGCCACTCGCTCAGAATGCGAATGACTTTTTTTTCGCTCTGCGTTCGGTGCCATTGCGACAGGAACGGCGGGAAGAGCAAGCCTAAGGATTCCCAGAAGCGAGGCCAGTCGGTCGGAGATAAAATTCCATTTCGCGTCTGTTCAAGATATAAAATTCCATTTCCGCCGTTCGTCATCCGGAATCGGACGTTGAGTCCTCGCAGGCATCGCGAGAAGAGACGAGAAGGGGCGAGAAGGGGCGAGAAGGGGCTCAAATGACGGGGTCGCCCCGTGGGAGTCACTCTATGGGGGGAGCGATGCAAAGGAGTTGTTGGCCCCCCCCCCCCCCCTCCCCTCCCCCTCCCCCCCCCAAACGAAAGGCAGAGTGCACTCTGGTACTGGTGAAATGTAATGGCCGAAAGAGATGACTAATTCATGACGTCACGGGAAAAAAATCTTACTTATGAATCTTCATGAACACTCAGGTTTTATACTTCCCACAATACAAGGGCCATAATAACCGTAATGTCCCTATTAACATACCCATATACGACTCGCAAATGGCTAAATCAACCGACGAACGTGGCTGGGGGCCCTACCCACCAAGGGGCCCCTGCCCACGAAGGGGCCCCTGCCCACGAAGGGGCCCCTTCCCGATTATTCCACGAAAGATGAAGTTACAGGAGAGAAGAGAGTGGTGACGTAGCAGCAGCTAACTGAGCCGATCAGCATGTTTCACCGAAGAACAAGTCGCGTACTTCTTCGAACAGACCCAATAAAGAAGGGGGAAAGGGGGAGGGGAGGGGGCGGAGGGGGCAGAGGGGGGGGGGGGGGGGGGGGGGGGGGGGCGTTGTTGGGGGTGGGGGGGGGGGGGGGGGGGGGGGGGGGACCGGATGCGAATATGGGAAAGGATCCCATCACCTTCTCACGCTTCGACCAGTACCTTCAACTTTAAACCTTGAATTCTCATGGCCGCGGTGAAATTCAAAGGAGATAAGAATCGACGATCTCGATATCGTTTATCACGCGGAGGAAAAAAGGAAAGGTAGAAAGGTGTCACGCGTCGAGTCGATGGATGAGGGTGAGGACCCCGACGGGCTCCAGACACCCGCCGAGAAAGAATCCTTTCCCCTCTTTCGAATTTTCGCTCGGTAGTCGTTCTCGCCTCCATTACGGTCCCGTGATCCTCACGGGACCAGAGAACCCCCTCGCTTCGAGACCGTTTAACGAGGCGCACAGGGACCGTAACGCGCTGCGATGCAACGCGCGATGAAGACTGGCGCTCGCGTCGCATCATCAGAGATCCATCGACCTCTTTTCGGTTATCGACGCGATGTGAATCTCGGACGCATTCCCCCGAACACGCATTTCCACTCTTCTACATTAACACCTTGTCGATCGCTCATGACTCGATCGCTCATTACTCGATCGCTCGACCCATCTGTCGAAAATCCGCGAACGGGTGCTCTACGACCATCAGCCGAATCGCCTTCGCGGCCGAACGAATTCGCATCGCGAACGAATCGCGAATCCGTTCTCGACATGGCGGGTCTCGTCGCCCTTTACGACCGGACGGTCGAACGTGCCGTGAGTGGAATTTCCGCAATTCGGCTCCCTCTGAGCGTGAAATTCTTCAGTGAAATTTCGTTCTCAACATGTTCATACTTTATAAATGCTCCGTGAGTTTCAGGAAGTGACAGCTATCAGGTGACGAGGAATATAATTTAAAAAATTCCATTCACTTTGAGAAGAGTTCGTCGGCAAACAAGGTCGACATCGACGATTCCTCGGACCAATTAAGTCGTAAATTATGTTTGAAGTTTCTGAAATTTTTTTCTTTTCCATGCCCGATGGGGGATCGTAAACCAGAGTCGAGGACTCCCGTCCGACCTACGAGAAAAATCCGAATCCAATTTTATCGGCGCATGTTCCGCCGACGTACCCGAACCCGACGAAGCGACTTAAAAAAAAGCCAAGTCCCCAAGCAAATGAATGGACTAATGGACTTTAAACGGGACTTCGGCGAACAACTTTCCGATCGGTATTGAACTTGTTCTCACCGTCAGCGCCTGAACCAGGAATTTCCTTCGGAATGTCACACCAGTCCGTTCGATTTACGAAACGATCCCAGCTCACACAAACCGCGAATTTCGAATCTCGCGATCTTAAGACGTCTGAAGACTCCAGCCGATAAGCAGCGCCCCCTATCCAAGGAAACCGGAAAGCGCTAATTGCGATTCCGGAGTAGAGATGGCGCTTGGCACCGCCCTCCCGAATTCCATTCGACCGGGAGCTCCATTCAGACGGAGCCCAGCGGGGCCCAGCGGGGCTCAATTCGGAGCGGGCTCGGACTCGGAAATCCGGTATCGACGAATTCCGAGCAGACCCTGAAATTACCTGAGTTTACCTGAATTCCCGGTTGGGAATTCAGGTAAATTCAGGTAAATATTCAGACGAAAGGAGAGAAACGTAAGACTTTGAGCCGAAGGGTGAAGGATGTCATCCGATGGATGCAGGGCTCAAAGTCTTAAAAAGTCTTCAGTTTGGCCGCCGACGAGTTTTGAAAGCTGAAGGAAGAAACGGCGAAAGAAAAGGAACCGGATCGCGAAGTCCTTTGGTGCGTGGAACGCGAACTGTCCGACGATGATTAACGATGGTACGTAACAATTAATTCCGAAGCAATAACTCATGATAATAATGAAATAATATAATCTTCGACTGCTTTTTTTTGCCAGGGTAAATAATATTCGACGCAGCGAAACATTTATCGCTTCGCGTTTTACTCCGATTTTGCGTACCGTACGAGCGATATGCCGATATCGCAAAATTAAAAAAAAGCGGAAACTCTCGCCGCGAAAGGGAAGGCGTGACGAAGGGAACCGTTCGCTGTTTTTTTTTCTCCCCTTTCCGCCGTTGTCGTTTGCGCTCGATTCTTGCTTTCTCTGCCGTGTTTTCGCCCGAGGTCTGTAGATTGACGCCGTCACGGCCTCGACCGTATCGGGATGGAAAACTCAACGGGCGACCACATTCCGCTTTTTTCAGGCGATCGTTGCCCGGCTTTGTCGCCAGGGCGACAAAGGCAATAAAGTTGCCGGACGCCCACACAACCGAGCGACTCCGATATTTCTCGTCGATGTTTTTTTTTTTCCTCCCTGATGTTGCCCCACGATGCACTGCAGTTATCGAGACCCACATACGAAACATAATCGTGCGGTGCATTTGCGGGGAAAACAAAATAATGGGCCTTCAGGATTACGAGACGCTTTTACGATGGAAAACGAAGCCCGACACACGACGCAGACGAAACACGAGGAGCAACCGAGCATTAGAAGGCCCATAAACACCCAAATCCGATCTAATCCCTTCAACCCCCCCCCCCCATCTACCCCTCCCCCATCTACCACACCCGTCCCCAACCTCCTTGCAATTTAGAGACGGGATGTGACCCGGCTGCGGCCTCCGCAACAGGGATTCTTCGCCGTTCCACATCAGAGACGGAAGTGCGTTGCGCTCCCCGGACTCCCTTCTCAAACACTCCTCGGACATAAAGGCTTCACTCGGTTTCGAATTTCGGAACCGGAATCCAGTCGGAATTCGGACTCGGAAACCGCAATTGCTCGTTCCCGCCCCCAAATCGCTGCGTGCTTTGAGGTCTTTAAATATATCGGTTTCGTTTCTGACGGCACGGGTTGCATAAAAAAAAATCAATCTCTCGTTACGACAAAAAATCAAGATCATTACGGAACTGGAATTTCCGAAGATTGCTCCAAACCAGGATTTCCTTCTTCCCGTGCCGAAAGTACAGAGAACTTAGCTCGTCGCATTTGACCCTCCTGCTGCCCTCCCTTTCGAACGAAGCACCGGAATGCGAGAGGAAAAAAAAGTAGGGAATTCCATCGGAGGCAAGGCGAGAGAGAAAAACGTGGGAAACCGTGCCTCGAGAGGAGTGGGCATCCGAGCAAACAGAATTTAAAGAGAGGGAAAGGACCTCCGAGGGCAGCAACGAATGAATGAACGAATGAATGAATGCATGAATGAAAGGAAGACAAAGCAGAAAAAGCGAAGGAAGCGAGGAGGCAGGTAGGAGGAGGCAAGAAGGGGGGAGGGAGGCCCCTCAAAGTAGGCTGATGTAAAGCCATGAAGAAGGTAATGATGGAAGCCGCACCTTCTCCATCGAAAAGCTAGCCTTCGAGCACTGGGTCACAATGCCAACACCCAGTCCCAGTCGCTCTCTCGTCTGACATCCAAACTCGCTATTCCTTACATTGTAAATCTGCTTATAGGATATTCATGAGGCGAGATACCGGTTGGAGGGAAGGGTGCGGGGAAATTAGGAACATCCTCTCCGGGTCGACGACAGCCCTTCGGATCGTTGGGTCGACTGACGACAGCCCTTCGGGTTGTCGGGCCGACCGACGACAGTCCTTCGGGCAGTCGAACCGTGCACGACATGTGATTTATTATTTTAGATCGAGAAACCAGACGAAAGTCACATTTTCCTAACGAGTATTTTCCAACATCTGCCATTATCAGCCTGTGCG